GATCGTTTCTTGTGAGTTCTCCACCTTCTTTCCTCAGCCTTATCACCTGGTCCTTGACTGTTGTCTTCCTCCTAATGTGGCTATACAGCAGTTTCGGTCAGATTTGACTTTCGATGCTATGTCGTTTTCATACTGTCGCTGGGCCTCCCTCCTTATCTGCGCATACTCGTTTCTGGCTCTTCTACTAATCTCCTTGTTTTCCTGGGTCCTATGCCTCCTGTACCTTTTCCATTCTCTGTTGCACTTAGTTTTTGCCTCCCTACACCTTCGGGTAAACCAAGGACTCGTTTTGGTCTTCCTATTATTTCTGTTTCCCTTGGGAACAAAACTTTCCTCTGCCTCCTTGCACTTTGTTGCCACATATTCCATCATCTCGTTTACTGATTTTCCTACCATTTCTCTGTCCCACTGAACCTCCTGCAGGAAGTTTCTCATACCTGTGTAGTCCCCCCTTTTATAGTTTGGCCTGTCCCCTTCAGTTCCTGTTACCTTCTCCACTTGTAACTCTACTATATAGTCAAAACTCAGAACCACATGATCGCTAGCTCCAAGGGGCCTCTCGTAAGTGATGTCCTCAATGTCTGAACTGCTCAGGGTGAACACAAGATCCAGTCTTGCTGGCTCATCCTCCCCTCTCTCTCTGGTTGTGTCCCTGACATGTTGATGCATGAGGTTTTCAAGTACCACATCCATCATCTTGGCTCTCCATGTTTCTGGACCCCCATGTGGCTCCAGGTTTTCCCAGTCGATCTCCCTGTGGTTGAAATCGCCCATTACCAGTAACTTTGCTCTGCTCGAGTGAGCTCTTCTTGCCACCTCAGCCAGTGTGTCCACCATCACCCTGTTGTTTTCTTCGTACTCCTCTCTTGGCCTCCTGCAGTTCTGTGGTGGGTTATACATCACTCCAATGACTACTTTATGTTCTCCGGACTGAATTGTACCTACAATGTAGTCTCTTTCTCCAATCATGTCCATGCCTTCCATTTCCTCAAATCCCCATTGGTGTTTTATGAGCAGTGCAACCCCTCCTCCCCCTCTACTCCTTCTATCTTTCCTCAGGATCTGATATCCTGTTGGGAAGATTGTGTCTGTTATTGTCTCAGCGAGTTTTGTTTCTGTGACTGCTATGATGTCTGGGGATTTTTCACTGATTCTTTCATTCCACTCCTCATGTTTATTCGTTATTCCATCCGCGTTTGTGTACCAAACCTTTAGTTTCTTTTCTATCATTGTGGTCATGCAAGTATATTGGGGTTGGGGGAGCGAGAGCCTTGGTGGGGGCCTATATGGGGCTGTGGTGTAGGTGGGGTTTGTGTTGATGGGGGTGGGGTCAGAATGCCCATAAGGGACAGCTGTTGGGGTGAGGTTTGTGATATGGGGTTGGTGGCAGAGGGAACAGTGAGTGGGTTGTAGTATAGGTTGCTCAGTTGCGTTGGGAATGTCGCGGGTGGAGTCTTTTGGTGGGAGATTCTGTGGGGTGTGTTTGCCCTTCCTCCTGTGTCTGGGTCCTGCTCATTTTCATTGCTTCTCGTTCCTCCTTGCGTCTCTGTACCCTCTCTTTCAGTGTAGTCCTTTCTTCTTGTGTTCTGTCGCAGTCGAGGTATACTCTCTGGTACCCCTCTTTGTCCCTCAGTCTTGCTTTCTCTTGCAGAATCCTGGTTCGAACTGATTCTTCCTTGAAAGTTACTCTGACAGGCCGTATCCTTCCACTCGCAAACCACCCAATTCTCTGAAAATTTGTCACCTGGGTCATATTGCCCTCCCCTATTGTTTTCATGATGCCTTCAATTATTTTTTTCTCCTCCTGTTTTATTTCTTCAAAGTTTCCCCCCTTGGCTTCTTGGAGCCCGTACACAAAAACTGACCTCGCCCTTTCCTCCTCCCACTGAGTCTCCATCTGCTTCCTCTGAGGCATTTTATTTCCTTCCATTGACATGTTCTTGCCTTCAGTCCCTGTCATATCTGAAACTTCTATTCTCATTGAACTGTCTTTCCTGACCAGCTGTCCCTTGCTACTGCAGTTGGCTGTTAGAATCTCTGCATATAACAAACCTTCATTGTCTTCGGACCTGTCGCTTGATCTTAGTGTGCTCATCGTCTTTTCCCTGGCCCCACGTGGGTCTGATAGGGCCTTCGTGTACGGCATGTCTCCGTTGTTGCTTACCATCCCCTTGTCTGCGCCTGACTTTGAATTTCCTTCATTGTCTTCGGACCTGTCGTTTGATCTCAGTGTGCTCATCGTCTTTTCCCTGGCCCCACGTGGGTCTGATAGGGCCTTCGTGTACGGCATGTCTCCGTTGTTGCTTACCATCCCCTTGTCTGCGCCTGACTTTGAATTTCCTGATGTCACATCTGAATTGTCATTTGTCTCTCTAATCTGTTTCAGGCTTCGCAGTTTCTCTTCTAAGCACTGTATCCTAGCTTCTGCTGCTAAGACCTGTACTTCCCACTTCCTGCACTCTTCAGCTATCCGCTCCTCCATTTTCTTACCAAGCTCTACTATCTTCCTTCCCCACTCTTCCTCCCTTTTTTGGAGCTCTAACTCCCAGTCTTTCCTCCCTGGTTCGTCTACCAGATCTCTGGTTTTCCGTCCTCTAAGGCCACCCATATTTTTTTTTTTTTTTTTTTTTTTTTTTTTTTTTTTTTTTTTTTTTTTTTTTTTTTTTTTTTGTTTTGTGTGTGTGTGTGTGTGTGTGTGTGTGTGTGTGTGTGTGTGTGCTACAGCTATTCAAGTGCCTAACCACAGTGCTGTTCTCGCCAAGTGTGCGTGCATATGTTTATGTAAACAGTCCTTATTTCCCACGAATGTACTACAAATGTATTGTATATATACCCGATCTCTTGGTTCCCACTGTACTGTCTTGAGTTTAAAATTACGTTCAAAAATAAATACACTAGGCTTCGCCTATATGCCGCTACCTCTAAATTCTATTAAATGCCAATAAATGCTGCTTATTCTAATTCTGATAGCTCGAGGAGAGTGACCCCCAATTCCAGCTAGAGACAGGTACTATTGACCCCATGCAACTCAAACTAGGTGAATATTACTTGCGGCTGGCAGTGGAGTAACGTTGCCAGTCTGTCCTGTCCCAGAAGTTGATGTTTGATGCTTCTCGGTAATTTTTCCACTAACTTCCTGTATGCACTATATTCTCTAGCTCTTCTAATTTTTTCACTCACTGTATTTACTGACACATCTATACATATCTCTTATCCCCCTGGTCTTGAGTCTCACTTATTCTTCAAAATACCCCACTGCGTTATTATGGCAACACTATTTAGGCCTGACACAACCGTTCACCCTTCCAACGGCCCCTACAACTATTTCCTTTGTTTTCTTTTCTGTGATCACTTATATTTCCTTTTTTCGGGGCTTAAGTGATTATATGCACTCTCATGCGTGCACACGCCTATATCCCACACTCTATTCCTTATGGCACAGTCAGAAATTATCACCAAAACACGAGCTCAACCGCGTGACTCCTCCACGAGTGTGTGTGTGTGTGTGTGTGTGTGTGCTCACCTAATTGTACTCACCTAATTGCTATTGCAGGGGTCGAGGCTCAGCTCCTGGCCCCGCCTCTTCACCGAGCGCCTCCACTACATCACTTGCTAGGCTATTCCACTTCCTGACTACTCTATGACTGAAGAAATACTTCCTAAAATTCCTTTGACTCACCTGAGTCTTCAACTTCCAAGTGTGACCCCCGGTTTCTGTGCCCACTCTCTGGAACATCCTGTCTCTGTTCACCTTGTCTATTCCTCGTAGTATTTTGTATGTCGTTATCATGTCTCCCCTAACCCTCCTATCCTCCAGTGTCGTCAGGCCGATTTCCCTTAATCTTTCTTCGGATGACATTTCCCTTATCTCTGGAACTAACCTTGTCGCAAACTTTTGCACTTTCTCTAAATTCTTGACGTGCTGGATCAAGTGTGGGTTTCATACTGGTGCTGCATTCTCCAGGATGGGCCTGACGTTCACGGTGTACAGTGTCTTGAACCATTCTTTACTAAGGTATCGGAACGCTATTGTCAGGTTTGCCAGGCGCCCATATGCTGCAGCTGTTATCTAGTTGACATGGGCTTCCGGAGACGTGCTCGGTTTTATACTCACTCCAAGATCTTTGTCCTTGAGCGAGGTTTGCAGTATCTGGGCACCTAGCCTATACTCTGTTTGTGGTCTTCTTTGCCATTCGCCAATCTTCATGACTTTGCATTTGGCTGGGTTAAATTCGAGAATCCAGTTGCTGGACCAGGTGTCCAGCCTGTCTAGGTCTCTTTGAAGTCCCGCCTGATCCTCATCCGATTAAATTCTCCTCATTAACTTCACATCATCTGCGAACAATGACACATCTGAGTCTATCCCTTCCATCATGTCACTCACACAACAAAAATAGCACTAGTCCTAGGACCGACCCTTGTGGGACCCCGCTCGTCACAGGCGCCCACTGTGAAACCTCATCACTTACCATGACTCGTTGTTGCCTCCCTGTCAGGTATTCTCTGATCCATTGCAGTGCCCTTCCTGTTACACGCGCCTGATCCTCTAGCTTCTGTACTTATCTCTCTTGAGGAACTGTGTCAAAGGTCTTCTTGCAGACCAAGAAAATGCAATCAACCCACTGCTCTCTCTTGTGTCTTACTTCTCTTACTTTATCATAAAAGTCCAGAAGGTCTGTGACATGAATCCGTGCTGGTTGGCGTTCATGGAAGGCAAATCCTGTGTCACAAACCTTCTTGATATCATTTGTTAAAAAAATAAAGTCTCTTGTGGACGACACGTCGCCTTAGTAAAACACGTTAACCAGCATTGTGTCTCATTTACATAGTATCGACACACTCTTCCATTGCGTTACCGTACCGGAGGTATCTACCTCAGCACATATACACCGAGCGGATTACAACCAACCGTATGCTGTATATACCGAAAGGTGTTTATAGAAATGTATATTTACTATACCGTATTTTTTTAAGCAAGGCAATCCACTTTTTGTGTGCAGGTGTGAGTGCCCTGGGAGCAATGTTGGGTATCCTGATCTGGAGGACCAAGCTATCCAGAGGCAAACTGCTCAATGGCCCCATGATTTTCGCAGCTCTTCTGATCAGTATTAATCTCCTGTGTCTTTCTGTCGGTGAGTACCCACCTCAGTTAAAGATGTTGTAATATGAAGCAGGTGTTCCCAGGTTAAATATAGCCTGCCAAGCATAACCCAGTAAGGTATGCTGAACCCAGGAATGCTGCTGATCGATGCCAAGAATGGGTCATCAGAATCTGTGTTAATGGCCAGCATAACCTGCTTAGCATGGCCCACTTTGACCTACCTAGCATGAGTTAATAGGATGTGCTTAGCATGGCCACTAGAACCTATTAAGCATTAGTCAGTAGGGTCTGTATCTCATAAACCAAGCTGATTTGGGTAGAATAGGCCAGCAGAATCTGCCTAGCTTGATCAAGTAGTACCTTCCCAGCATAGGCCATAGGACCTGTCTAGCATGTTCAAGTATTATCTGTCTAGCATTTACTCTTATGACTAGTCTAGCAAGATCAGTACGACCTACTAGGGCCTGCGAAGCGTGGGCAAATAGTATGTGACTAGCAAGAATTAGTAGGCTCCGCTGAACATAGACCAAATAGATTGGCACATAGTGGAAAAGTAGTAGCTGTTAAACATGAGTCAGTAGGTTCTACTGAACATGGGACAGCATTTCCGGCCTAACATGACTTATTAGGACCTGTCTGGCATTGCCTAATTATCTTGCATAAATCAGAAAGATGTATCTTGTAAGAGCCAGTAGGATCTGCCAAGCATGGACCAATTGGATCTGCCTGCCATGGATCAGTAGGAACTGCCTGGCATAGACCAGAAAGAACTACCTAAAATGGACCAGTAAGACCTGCCAAGCATGGGCCAGTTGAACCTACCTAGGCTCGACGAATAGGGCCTACCTTACATGGACCAGTAAAACTAGCCCTACATAGGCCAGCATAACCTACGGATCTGCTATGTATAGGCTAAAGGGCCTCCTCCAGTGCTTGACTATATTTAGTTTAATTTCTTTTTGCTGAGTCGAATTTTGAGAGTAAGGCAATGTTTTTATCCTAGCTCTTTATCCCAGGAATTATAGCCTTTCTCTCTCTCCTGTTTTACATCAAATCTAATTACCAGTCACTTCTCAAAATAAGTAAATAAATAACTAAATAAATAAATATAATAATACTAATAATAATAATAATAATAATAATAATAATAATAATAATAATAATAATAATAATAATAATAATAATAATAATAACAACAACAAGAACAAGAACAACAACAACAACAACAACAAAATATTTATTATTTTTTATTATCACACTGGCCGTTTCCCACCAAGGCTGGATGGCCGAAAAAAGGAAAACTTTCACCATCATTCACTCCATCACTGTCTTGCCAGAGGCGCACTAACACTACAGTTACAAAACTGCAACATTAACACCCCTCCTTCAGAGTGCAGACACTGTACTTCCCACCTCCAGGACTCAAGTCCGGCCTGCCAGTTTCCCTGAATCCCTGTATAAATAAAATAATACAAATATAATAATAATTATATTGCAAAAAGATAATAATGATCATAATAATAAAATAAAAATAATAATTTTAATAATAACAATACAAATAAAATATCATTATTATTATTATATAATAATTATTTTTATTACTATTTTATTACGATTTATTATTATTATTATTATTATTATTGTTATTATTATTATTATCATATTAATGATAATAAAGTAATATAATGAAATAAATTAAAATAATTATATTATTATAATTAATAAAAATATTATTATAATTATTAATAAAATATTATTATCATTATTATAATTGTTATTATTACTAACATTAAGTAATATTAATGCATATGGTTGCAACATCGTTGCAGGGAACGTGATAGTTGGACTGGAGTTGGCAACATGTACTGAACACAATGATAAGATCATGGTAGACTCCTGCAACTATCCATACATCTACTTCTCTCTCTGTGTGGTCGTTACCTTCGACTTTGTCTACAGTGTTCTGTTTCTGGTAAGATTCTGCCTCTCTTACAGTACATACCTTTCTTCACTTTTATTTTTCTTAAGAAAACAGCTGTGTAAGCGTGTTGAAATTCTTAGATAATTTTGATAAATTAAAATTAATAATACTGAATTAAATTTTAGTAGAGTAGTTCGGTTAATTTATTGCAAAGAAAATATGAGAAAATTATAATTTGCCTAAAATAAATTGTTTTTAATTTTTAGAAACAAATGTTCAGAAAATTTATAGGTTTTCCAACGACTTATCAGTTACTGAACAAAAAACATTTCCTTGGGATTATAAGAACTTAAAAAACATAAGAATGGCGGGACACTGAAATAGGCCTACTGGCCTATACTAGGCAGGTCCTTCACAAACACAATCCCACCAGTCAGAAATATTTGCCCAACCCATTTTCAATTCTCTCCAAGGAATAAGCTTTGAAACTCGAAGAATAATCTAAGAAAGTCCAGCATTCTTGCTTATTGCCATTATGGCAATAAGCAAGAATGCTCAGGATGCCATACATCTCACGAAGCTCAGGATGCCATACATCTCACGAAGCTCAGGATGTCATACATCTCACGAAGCTCAGGATGCCATACATCTCACGAAGCTCAGGATGTCATACATCTCACGAAGCTCAGGATGCCATACATCTCACGAAGCTCAGGATGCCATACATCTCACGAAGCTCAGGATGGCACCCAACAATTCACCAACACTTAGGAACGGGTTTACTGCCGGAGGTACAGGAGCAAAAGGTGTTGAAAAAAAAAATTGTTTCTTCTCACTCGTCCCATACCCCCGGCCGGGGGTATGGTTTATCAGTTGTTAGCCGAAGAAGTTACCATTTATGCCACATAAAACCATCAACAGTCTTAGATGAAGGTGAAGGCTGGCTTATGTTTATTTACTGCCAAGTGTTTCTCATCTTTATTTTATACTCTTATCCCTAAAATTTCAATATGTTCGGTATTCTGAATTTTAGTTTCCATAACATGAAAGAACTTTTCAATTAATATTGCCTGTCCTGCTTTCTTTCTATCATCCACACTGAGAAATATACTTTTCCACTTTAATTTCAGTTAGACAAAGTATATCAGGTTACTTTTCGTTTATAATATCCCTAAATTCTACCAATAAGAATAATGTATTATTCTCATTGTTACCCTTTTTCCAATTTATTTTAACATGAATTTCATCAGTCTTTTGATAGTTTCTTTGAAAAACCAGTTGATTGGTTAGAATTACGCTCCTAATCAGCAAAAAAAAAAAATCTTTGATTCAGTTCTTCCCTCCAGCAGTTCTTATGAAATATTGTAATTTCACTCTGACCTTCAGTTCAACATTTTGTTTACTTGGTATATCCTTATTACCCTCCAATTATTTAATGTCCCGAGCCTTTTTTAACATTTCTTCCTTATGCCTGATCAGTGTAAGTGTTATTTTCAGTAAGCTCTGATTGACTTTCTCATATATTCCAGAGCACCCATATACCACTGTATGTTTTTGAAGCCTAATATCTACATTGTGTGTGTTTACTCACCTATTTATGGTTGCAGGGGTCGAGATATAGGTCCTGCCCCGCCTCTTCACTGATCGGTACTAGGCCCTCTCTCTCTCTGCTCCATGAGCTTTACCATACCTCGTTTTAAAACTATCTATGGTTCCTGCCTCCACTACATCTCTTGCCAGTCTATTCCTCTTCCTGACAGCTCTATGACTAAAGAAATTCTTCCTAAAATCTCTTTGACTCATCTGAGTCTTTCTTCAACTTCCAATTGTGGCCTCCTGATTCTGTGCCCCATGTCTGTAATATCCTGTCTCTTCCCAATTCCTCGCAGTATTTTGCATGTCGTTATCATGTCTCCCCTAACCCTCCTGTCCTCCAGTGTCTTTAGGTATATTTCCCTTAACCTTTCTTCGCAGGATATTTCCCTTAGCTCTGGAACTAGGCTTGTTGCAAACCTTTGGACTTTCTCTAATTTATTCACGTGCTTGATCCGGGTGGTTCTAAACAGGTGCTGCATACTCCAGTACGGGCCTGACGTACACGGTGTACAGAGTCTTGAATGATTCCTTGCTGAGGTATCGGAATGCTATTCTCAGGTTTGCCAAGCGCCCATATGCTGCAGCAGTTATCTGGTTCATGTGCACTTCAGGAGATGTACTCGGTATCATACTAACTCCAAGATCCTTTTCCTTGAGTGAGATTTGCAGTGTTTGGCCACCTAGCCTATATGCTGTCTGCGGTCTTCTTTGCCCTTCACCGATATTTATGACTTTGTATTTGGCTGGGTTAAATTCGAGGAGCCAGTTGTTGGACCAAGCTTCCAGCCTGTCCAGGTCTCTTTGTAGTCCTGCCTGGTCCTCATTTGATTTACTTCTCCTCATTAACTGCACATTATATGCAGACAGGGACACTTCTGAGTCTGTCCTTTCTGTCATGTCATTCACATACACCAGAGATTGCACTGGTCCTAGGACTGACTCCTGTGGAACCCCGCTTGTCACAGGTGCCCACTGTGATACCTCGTCACGTACCATGACTCGTTGTTGCCTCCCTGCCAGGTATTCTCTGAACAATTGTAGTGCCCTTCCTGATACATGTGCCTAATTCTCTAGCTTCTGAGGAACTGTGTCGAAGGCCTTCTGGCAGTCCAAGAAAATGCAATCTACCCATCTCTCTCTCTCTTGTGTCTTACTTCCGTTACCTTGTCATAAAACTCCAGTAGGTTTGTGACAGGATATGCCTTCTTTGAATCCGTGCTGGTTGTCGTTAATAAGCTTGTTCCGTTCTAGGTGCTCCACCACTCTCCTCCTGACATTCTTCTCCATGATGTTGCATGCTATACATGTCAGTGACACTGGTCTTTAGTTTAATGCCTCATTTCTGTCTCCTTTCTTAAAAACTGGGACTATATTTGCCGTCTTTCATACCTTAGGTAGTTGCCCAGTTTCAATGGATGTATTGGAAATTGTGGTTAGTGGCACACACACAGCATCTCTGCTCCCTCTCTAATTACCGACGGAGAGATGTTGTCCAGTCCCACCGCCTTTGAGGAATCAAGGTCACTTAGAAGCTTCTTCACCTCCTCCTCGGTTGCGTGTATTTCATCCAACACTTGTTGGTATATCCCTTGTTGGTGTACCCCTCTTTTCTGACCTCCCAGAGTCCTTTCTGTCTCCACTGTAAATAAGTCCTTAGGTCTCATGTTGAGCTCCTCACATACTTCTTGGTCATTTATTGCGAACTCCCAACCTTCTTTCCTCAGCCTGATTATCTAGTCCCTGACTGTTGTCTTCCTCCTGATGTGGCTATACAGCAGCTTCGGGTCGGACTTGACTTTTGATGCTATGTCGTTTTCGTTCTGTCGCTGAACCTCCCTCCTTATCTGTGCATACTCGTTTCTGACACTTCGATTGATCTCTTCGTTGCCTTGGTTCCTATGTCTTCTGTACATTTTCCATTCTATAGTGCATTTTGTTTTTGCCTCCCTGCACCCTTGGGTGAACCAAGGGCTCATTCTGGTCTTCCCATTATTTCTGTTGCCCTTGGAAACTAACCTTTCCTCTGCCTCCTTGCATTTTGTTGTTGCATAGTCCATCGTTTCGTATACTGACTTTCCTACCAGTTCTCTGTCCCACTGAACCTCCTGGATGAAGTTCCTCATACCTGTGTAGTCCCCATTTTGTAGTTTGGCTTTTCCCATCCTACTCCTGTTCCCTCTCCACTTGTAAGTCTACTAGGTATCCAAAGCTCAGAACCACGTGATCACTAGCTCCAAGGGGCCTTTCATATTTGATGTCCTGAATGTCCGAGCTACTCAGGGTGAACACGAGGTCCAGTCTTGCTGGTTCATCCTCCCCTCTCTCTCTCTCTGGTAGTGTCCCTAACATGTTAATGATGAGGCTTTCCAGTACTGCCTCCTTGCATTTTGTAGTTACGTAGTTCATCATTTCTTTGACTGACTTTCCTAGCAACTCTGTTTCCCACTGAACCTCCTGCAGGAAGTTCCTCATACCTATGCACTTCCCGCTTTTGAAATTTGGCTTTTCCCATCCTACAACTGGTCCCACTCCACTTGTAACTCTACTAGGTATTCAAAGCTCAGAACCACGTGATCACTAGCTCCAAGGGGCCTTTCATATGTGTTGTCCTTGATGTCTGAGCGACTCAGGGTGAATACAAGGTCCAGTCTTGTTGGTTCAACCTACCCTGTCTCTCTGGTAGTGTCCCTAACATGTTGGTGCATGAGGTTTTCCAGCACCACATCCATCATTTTGGCTCTCCATGTTTCGGGACCCTTGTGTGGCTCCAGGTTTTCCCAGTCAATCTCCTTGTGGTTGAAATCGCGATAACCATTAACTTTGTTCTACTCGAGTGAGCTCTTCTTGCCATCTCAGCTAGTGTGTCCACTATTGCTCTGTTGCACTCATCATTTTCCTCTCTTGGCCTCCTGCAGTTCTGTAGTGGGTTATACATCCCTGCAATGACTGCCTTATGTTCCCCTGACTGAACTGTACCTACTATGTAATCTATTTCTCCAATCTCGTCGATTCCTTCCATTGTGTGTGTGTATACTCACCTAATTGTGGTTGCAGAGGTAGATTCATAGCTCCTGGCCCCGCCTCTTCACTGGTCGCTACTAAGTTCATACCCTCCCTCCTCCAAGAGCGTTATCATACCTCTTAAAGCTGAATAAATACTTCCTAACATCCATGTGACTCATCTGAGTCTTAAACTTCCAACTGTAACCCCTTTTTGCTGTGTCCCATCTCTGGAACATCCTGTCCCTGTCCACCCTGTCGATTCCTCTTAGTATTTAATATAACATTATTATGTCCCTCTTGTCCTTCTTGTTCTCCAGTGTCGTCAGGTTGAGTTTCCTTAACCTCTCCTCGCAGGACGTGTCCCATAGCTCCGGGACTAGTCTTGTTTCAAACCTTTGCACTTTCTCTAGTCTCCTGACGTGCTTGACCAGGTGTGGGTTTCAAATTGGAGCTGCATACTCCAATACGGGTCTGACGTACACGGTGTACAGTGTCCGGAATGGCTCCTTACTGAGATGTCGGAATGCTGTTCATAGGATCGCTAGTCGCCCATATGCTGCAGTGGTTATTTGGTTGATGTGCGCATCAGGAGATGTCCTGAATATTATACACACTCCAAGATTCTTTTCTTTGAGCGAGATTTGGAGTCTTTGGCCCCCCTAGACTGTACTCTATCTGGGGTCTTGTTTGCCCTTCCCCGATCTTTATGACTTTGTACTTGGTGGGGGTTGAACTCCAGGAGCCAGTTGCTGGACCAGGCCTGCTGCCTGTCCAGATCCCCCAGTAGTCCTGCCTTATCCACCTCCTACTGAATTCTCATCAGACAGGGACACTTCTGAGTCTATTCCTTCCGTCATGTTCAAATGTACCAAAAACAGCACCGGTCCTTGGACTGACCCCTGGGGAACCCCGTTCGTCACAGGCGCCCTCTCCGACACCTCATCACGTACCATGACTCGCTGATGTCTTCATGTCAGATATTTTCTGATCCATTGCAGTGTCTTCCCTGTTATACCTTCATGGTCCTCCAGCTTTTACACTGATCTCTTGTGTGGAACTGTGTGTGCACTCACCTATTTGTGGTTGCAGGGGTCGAGTCTTAGCTCCTGGCCCCGCCTCTTCACTGGTTGCTACTGGGTCCTCTCTCTCCCTGCACGCTCCCTGTGTACTCACCTAGTTGAGGTTGCGGTGTGTGTGTGTGTGTGTGTGTGTGTGTGTGTGTGTGTGTGTGTGTGTGTGTGTGTGTGTGTGTGTGAAGGTACGTGCACATCCAGTAACTAACCCTGATGTCACTTACAGGTTCTTTGGCTCAGTTCTTGTAGTGACAGAGTAAGGAAGATGAGACTTCACCTTAACAACGACTATTTCACATTCCCATATTGCTGTTTCCCGCATCACAGCTACCGTAAGTACTCTTTCTTATAAATATTTAATGAATTTTCAAGCAATGAAATGGTTACTTGACTGATCAACTGAGACCTAATTAGTATGGACCATGAATTAGAAGGCGTAATGAAGTGTTTCATTGCTTTTTTGTTCATATGTACAACCTGCCTAGCATGGCTAATGGGCCTTCTGTAGTGTTTCTCTACAGTATTATTATATTCTTGTATGGTAGTTGACCCTGCGAAGAATGTGCCAGTTTGACCTACCTATTAAAGGCCAATAAGGGTAAAGTGGTGATAATTTATTTTCATATCTTCTTAAATTTATTAATGTTCGTGCTCCAGTTTAATTACGAATTCTTCCTCATTAAGTTTTTTTTCGCAACAGAGTTGAGCTGGCAGGAATGGGTGGGCGTGGTGATCATTGCAGCTAACTTGCTGCTAGCTATTGCCTCAATAGTCATGGGTGTTGTCTTCTACACCGAGTGTTATGATTATGAATGGACACCAGATAGACTGATTGTGCAAGGTCAGTACAAGACTAATTGTGTAAGGTCAGTAAGGTCAGTGGGAAGAAATTTTCCCAACAATTACATACCCTTCCAAATTCGTCCGCTAACCTCTAACTTCTCAGAATCGAAACAAAAGCACAGTGTCATCAGCAATAAGCAATTGTTTTAATCCCACTTTGTGTTGGAGTCTTTATCTTGCAAACCCACACCTTCCAGGACCAATACCCCTGCATTCACTTCTCTTACAACCCCATCAATTAATATATTAAATATATCAAACATATTAAACATCCATGGCTAAGGCTTATTTTTAATGGGACATACCCTCCCTGTCTCCTGCATATCCTATCCATGCAAACCACTTAAAGGCTTTCAGTAATCTATCATGTGTTCCATACATTTGCTCCGCTATCCACCCTATCATGTAACTTTTCCCAATTCATAAATGCAATGAAAACTTCTTTACCCAAATACTTTTTAATTATATACTTCAATGATAACACTTGGTCTACACATTCCTTAAACTTCCTAAAGACCCTTTGTTCATCGTGCTCTCTGCTTTACTCTTAATTCTTTCAATAATAACTCTACCATGCACCTTACCAGGAATAATCAATAGACTTATTCCCCTATAATTCGTACACTCTCTATTGTCCCAGTTGCCATTATATAAAGGAGAAAGACTTCTCTCTGCCAATCACAAGATATATTTCCCTATTCCATATACTTTTTTTTAAATAAAAGCACCAACCATTCCAAAACTATATCACTCCCTGCTTTTAGCATTTCTGTATTCATCCTATCAATCCCAGACTATTTCATTCAACACACAGCCTCACGTAACTCCCTCATATCTGGCTCTTACTTATTCCTTAAATATGCTATACCTTCCTGCCCAATGCACGAAATCACCGTTTCGCTATCTTCATCAACGTTTAACAGTTCTTCAAAATATTCCCTTCATCCTCCCTATACTACCCACTCTCCATCTAATAACTCTCATCTTCTATTTTAATTGTCATATCCATTCGTTTCCAAAGCTTTCTCAACTTATTAATCCTCCTCCAAAAGTTTTCTTTTATTCTCAGCAACATTTGTTGACAGCATATCACCAACTCTCTCATTTGTTCTCCTTTTTCATTCCTACACTACTCTTTCAACCTCTCTTTTTTTCTCCATGTATTCCTCCCTTCTTATATTATTTCTACTTTATAAAAACCTCTCATAAGCTAACTTTTTCTCTCTTACTACTCTCTTTACTTCATCATTCCACCAATCACTCCTCTTCCTTCCAGCACCCACTCTTCTATATCCACAAATTTCTACTGAACGTTCTAACAGTGCATTCTAAATTAAGTCTACCCTATACCTATTCAGCTTCATTGTCTATACTCTCACTAATCCATCTTTCTACCAATAGTTGCTTATATCTTACCCAGATTCCTCTAGTTTATGTAATTTTCCTTGTATCCCATCTTACTTTACTGTCACTGTAGCTACAACTTAAAAATTATCTGATTTATTGGTTGCCAATCTTTAAACATGCACATCAGCTTTTTATCCACCAATTAATAGTCCAAGAAACTATTGTCATTTGGCCCTATACCGTATCTTGGAGTGAATGATAATGAAAGTGTTTCTTCTTTTCTGGAGTGAATGATGATGAAAGTGTTTCTTCTTTTCTGGAGTGAATAATGATGAAAATGTTTCTTCTTTTCTGGAGTGAATGATGATGAAAGTGTTTCTCCTTTTCTGGAGTGAATGATGATGAAAGTGTTTCTTCTTTTCTGGAGTGAATAATGATGAAAGTGTTTCTTCTTTTCGGTATATAACATTTAAATTTTTTATTTTAGATGTTATATACCGATACCCTAACTTCCAAAGCGACAGAGGGAGACTTCTTTGGAACAAAGCTATCTTGCCAGAGGCATGGCTACACTACAGTTATAAAACTGCAACATTAACACCCCTCCTTCAGAGTGCAGGCACTGTACTTCCCATCTTCAGGACTCAAGTCCTGCCTGCCGGTTTCCCTGAATCCCTTCATAAATGTTACTTTGCTCACACTCCAGCAGCACGAAAACATGGAACAGGAGACTGAAGCATCTATTAGGAGAGAAATGAGAAATTTATAGGGGCATCAAAAGAGGAATAGTTAACTTTATTAACCAATGCGTTCATATTAAAAGAGAGGTAAAGATGGGGATTTTGAACGCTAAACGTGACAATGAAATTAGAGTAGCCTGAGAATCAAAGATTAATTCAAAGGGTTCTTTCAAGTGTATAAGACAAAGATCATGGAATATATAGGACCACTGAAAACTAGGTCTGGACAGTTTACTGATAATGAGCAGGAAATATGCTCTATTTTTAATAGTTATTACTAGTCAGTTTTCACACAAAAAAGACGTAAATGATAATATCCCCGCATTCAATAATTATTCACATCCTCAAGAAAACAAATTAAGCACTATTTCAGTCACGAGGGATATGATTATCAAACAGTTAGACAAACTAAAACAAAAAAAGTTCCCGAGGGGGAGGGGGAGGGGGAGGGGGGGAGGGGGAGATGGGAGGGGGAGGGGGGAGGGGGGAGGGAGAGGGGTTGGGGTTGTATATGGAGTGGTACAATGACCCTTCTGAGGGCTCCTTGATGGTTATGTCCTTGTGCCACTCGCTGTAGTCAGAGATTTTCCTGAGAGATTAACAATCAGATAAATCTCCTCACAATACATTCAGGATTTATTATATAAAGCATGGTGCTAATTGCAACCAAATTACCAGTGTTGGATTTGTTTTTGTTCTACAGCACGTGGGTTTTTCTTACCTATATCAGTACACCAGTATACCTGGAGAGGGTTTCGGGGGTCAACGCCCCCTCGTCCCGATCTGTGACCAGGCCTCGTAAACTTGTTAGGGGCTGTTCATGAACTGCTGAACCAGTGTGAGTCATCCAATTTATGGAGTAATGCAGAACTGATCCTTCGTCCATCAAATCAACATGAGTCATATATTTCATGAAGCAGAGGCTCTATCTTCCGTCCACTACTTCTTTGTGAGTCGTTCAGCTCATGGTGTAGTGGAGGCTCGACTCTCCATTCATTAAATTGTGTGCGTCATTGGTTTACGAATAAGCGATGTCTCGGCCACTAAATCTGTTCGAACTATTAGGATTAAGGAATATTGGAAACTCGAGCCATCGTCCGGTATATCTGTGTGGATCATTCAAGTTGGATAAATTTGTTTGTAGTCGATGTAGGGTTATTGAAGAAAAATCCTTGAGTAGCTTCAAATATATGTTAGAGTGGTTGAATATGAGTGGGATTCGCACTTGAGTTAACAGGGTTATCGAAGCTTATTTTTAGGGCAACATTGATAATGGGTTGGGCGAATATTTTCTAGTGGGTTCATGTTTGACAAGGATCTTCCGAGTATCGGCCGGTAAGCCTGCTGCAGTGTTCCTTCTTTCCTATGTTCTTATGTAAACTCTTAAGAGGTAGCGGAGACTATTCTCCATCCACTAAACCAGTTTGGATCATATAGGACAGGGAATGGCAGAGAAGCAATCCTGCATCAAGTTACGTTGGCCTGGTCATTGACTCACTAGACTGTTTGTGACCTAAGAAAATACTGTTGTATCTGCAGGTGTTGTAACTGTGGCAGCAGTGGGTGTAGGGCTCTGGTACCTCAAGTTCCCTTCATGGACAACAATGACCTGGCCACCAGCATCCTTCTTCATCTTCTCTCCTCTGCTAGCTCTGATCATGTTCCACGTCGGATGGACGGCTATAGGTCAGTGACTGTTAATCTCTATAAATAATTATTTTTAACCACACCGGCTGCCTCCCAACTTGGCAAGGTGATCCAAAAACTGAATCACTATTATTCAATCTGATGTCTTGTTAGAGGCGCTGATAAATTATAAATGAAGTAGTCAGTTATTACGCAGTGTATTATAGAGAATATTTTATAAACAAAAAAAGTTCCATATATAATGTCATTTTCCGGGATTTCTACTGAAACTGGACAAGTATTATTCGTGGTCAGTCAGTGGCCAGGAGAGGAGAGTGAGGTGTGTGAGTGTCAGTTTGTGGAACGCAGCACCTGCAGCAAGATGTCCTAAGACGTCACGGTTTGTTTTGTAGGGATTTTTTTTTTGCAAGTTTATTTCATAGGCTATTTTATTGGTTTAAGTGCTCTCCTGTTTACCTGTAAGGTCGTAGTGTTCAGAGAAGTGTTTGAGTTTTGGGAGAGTACTTGTACAGCCTGCAGGTTGAGCAGCCTGCAGGTTGAGCAGCCTGCAGGTTGAGCAGACTGCAGGTTGAGCAGCCTGCAGAAGGAGGGGTGTCATGGAACCTCTGTATTTATAAATATTTATGTTGTTTTACTCACTAGTAGCAGTTAGTGAGGTAATGAGAGTACTGGGTAAAGGTAAACTGGAGTGTGGTGATGTTGGTTGTAGTAGACTAGACTAGGTTGTATATGTTATCTTAATATATATATTATATTTTTGTATAGGTGAGTTTTTGTGTCCTTCCTTATAATACATTGGCCATTTAAATTTATGCATCATAATTTGTATGAAGGTTCATGCTGGCCCAAGAGTGGTTTCTTTTTCAATTTTAAATAATTTAAATGCCACTAAACTTGGCAGGTCGTTTACCCTTCAGGAGCCAGGACTTTATTTAAGTTACACAGCCAAAAAAAGAGTAACATCAGTGTTGACATGTTGACGAGTAGAGCAGTAAGACACGTACACCAGTTAAGTATCAAAGTTAGTTTCTTCATTCGAATACAGAGGTGACTAATATGGAGATAGCAGAAACAGTGGAATGATGAAGATGATGTGATCAATTCATCAGCCTTGAAAAAATAATTAGAGATGATAGAGCATCACAGACTACTTCAAAGATGATAGACTGATCCCATTATTGCTTATCAGCTGTTTCCACTGTCTCCATATTAGTTACAACTTTATTCGCTTAAAGAAACCCTGCCTGGGCGACAAGTTACGGATATAAAGATTCCAAACTGTTGCTTATGTCTTACTCATCTTCTTTACGATAGTGTATGCCATTATTATTGAAACTTAATGCAAGTTTAACCAATGCTACAACTACTTCACGGCACTTTAAACTTGACCAAAATGCCACGGCCAGTAAACTGAATTTTCACTGGCAAGCCTCACCAATCTTTAAGTAATTACTACCACTACTATAGCATCTACTGCTGCCACAACTACTACTACTATCATTGCTTTTACTGCTCAACTACTATTACTACTACTACTTCTGCTACTACTATTTCGTCTGTTACTTCTACTTCTGCTACTACTACTTTTTCTGTTATTACTACTGCTACTATTACTACAACAATCCCTTCCAGTGTTACTGCTAAGGGTAATGGCAGAACTATTACTAGTAGTAGTTGAAGTAGAAATTAATAATAATAATAATAATAAGAATAATAATAATAATTATAATAATACAAGAAGAAAAAGAATAAGTAGTACTCGAAATAATAAACATACAAATCATAAGGCAACAAAGGTATGGAATGTAATAAAAGGGATCTAATACCATATGAACAAAGGTGTTAGGCAAAGGGACAATCTCTCACCAAATAATTTTAAATATTATAAATAAATAATCCCTGTGTAAGTGGGATGTTGTTCCACTTTCTTAGGATAAATATTGTTGTACATGCCGTCTATATTGTTCTTTCGTTAAAATAAATGATCACATACAAATATTAATTTATTGTTTGATGGAAAAAGTAATATTTAAAGTTACAAATTGTAACAAGTGAATCATTATTAATGTTTACCATTTTGTAGAAATAGTGTTAATAGTCTGGGTAATTTTATCTGTCATATATATATATATATATATGTATATATAGTCCTACTGTCTTCAAGTTATGTCCTAGAATTTGTATTGATAAAGCCACTGGATGGCGAAACGTCTACAATAAAGATACCCAGATGTTGCACATGTGTCTTAATTTATATATATATATATATATATATATATATATATATATATATATATATATATATATATATATATATATATATATATATATATATATATATATATATATATATATATATATATATATATATATATATATATATATATATATATATATATATATATATATATATATATATATATATATATATATATATATATATATATATATATATATATATATTTATATATATATATATATATATATATATATATATATATATATATATATATATATATATATATATTATTAGTATTATTATTATTCTTATTATTCTTATTCTTATTATTATTAACACATGGGCCGATTCCCACCAAGGTAGAGTGGCCCGAAAAAAGAAAAACTTGCACCATCATTTGCCAGAGGGGTGCTTTACACTACAGTTATATAACTGCAACATTAACACCCCTCCTTCAGAGTGCAGACACTGTACTTCCCATCTCCAGGACTCAAGTCCGGCCTGCCGGTTTCTCTGAATCCCTTCATAAATGTTGCATTGCTCACACTCCAACAGCACGTCAAGTATTAAAAACCATTTGTCTTCTATCAAATGCGCTCACGCATGATTGCTGGAAGTCCAAGCCCCTCGCACACAAAACATCCTTTACCCCCTCCCTCCAACCTTTCCTAGGCCGACTCCTACCCCGCCTTCCCTCCACTACAGTTTTATATACTCTCGAAGTCATTCTGTTTCGTTCCATTCTCTCTTTATGTCCGAACCACCTCAACAACCCTCCTCAGCCCTCTGGACAACAGTTTTGGCAATCCCGCACCTCCTCATAACTTCCAAACTACAAATTCTCTGCATTATATTCACACCACACATTGCCCTCAGACATGACATCTCCACTGCCTCCAGCCTTCTCCTCGTTGCAATATTCATCACCCATGCTTCACACCCATATTAGAGTGTTGGTAAAACTATACTCTAATACATTCCCATCTTTGCTTCCAAGGACAAAGTTCTTTGTCTCCACAAACTCAGTGCACCGCTTACCATTTTCCCGTCATCAATTCTATGATTCACCTCATCTTTCTTAGACCCATCCGCTGACACGTCCACTCACAAATATCTGAATATTTTCACCTCCTCCATACTCTCTCCCTCCAATCTGATATCCAGTCTTTCGTCACCTAATATTTTTGTTATCCTCATAACCTTACTGTTTCCTATATTCACTTTTAATTTTCTTCTTTACATACCCTACCAAATTCATCCACCAACCTCTGCAGAATCTCCCAAAGCACAGTGTCATCAGCAAAAAGCAACTGTGACAACTCCCACTTTGTGTTTGATTCTTTATCTTTTAACTCCACACCTCGCATTCACTTCTCTTACAACCCCATCTATAAGTATATTGAACAATCACGGTGACATCACACATCCTAGTCTACTTTTACTGGAATTAATCTCCCTAAACAACAATAATATGTATACTGCTCTTGGAATTTAGTACACCCAACGGAGAGTAGAATGAAATTAACTGAGAGGCACCCACACCACCGTATGTCCTCGGATCAAGGTAAAACACCTAGCTCTGCTGGGTGCGTGAATCTTGTAGGATTGAGCGGCCCTGTGGGTTAAAGTGTCATGTGATTTTCGTTCACAATGAGGCAGGACAAAACGACATGGGTTCGAGTCCTCGGCTAGTTGAAGTGTTGTTATATATATAATATATATATATAAAATATATATATATATATATATATATATATATATATATATATATATATATATATATATATATATATATATATATATATATATATATATATATATATATATATATAATATTATTATATATATATATATATATTATATATATATATATATATATATATTATATATATATATATATATTATATAATATATATATATATATATATATATATATATATATATATATATATATATATTATATATATAATAATAAGCATAAGAACGAAGGAACACTGCAGAAGGCCTACTGGCCCATGCGAGGCAGGTCCAAGTCTCCTACCGGCTTAAGCCAATGCACCCAACCTAGTCAGGTCAGGTCACATTGACTTAAGGGAGGAACACGGCAACCGACCTGGTAGCACAAGCTATCAGGTCCAACTCACACCCACCCACATCCACTCATGTATTTATCCAACCTATTTTTAAAGCTACACAACGTTCTGGCCTCTATAACTGTACTCGGGAGTTTGTTCCACTCATCCACAACTCTATTACTAAACCAGTACTTTCCTATATCCTTCCTGAATCTGAATTTTTCCAACTTAAAACCATTGCTGCGAGTCCTGTCTAGGCTAGATATTTTCAGCACACTATTTACATCCCCTTTATATATTCCTGTCTTCCATTTATACACCTCAATCATATCCCCCCTAATTCTACGTCTTTCTAGAGAGTGCAGATTCAGGGCCCTTAGTCTATCCTCATAGGGAAGGTTTCTGATACATGGGATCAACTTTGTCATCCTCCTTTGTACATTTTCCAGAGAATTTATATCCATTCTGTAATACGGTGACCAAAACTGTGCAGCATAATCTAAATGAGGCCTAACCAAGGATGTATAGAGTTGAAGAACAACCTGAGGACTCCTATTATTTATGCTTCTTGATATGAAGCCAAGGATTCTATTAGCTTTATTGCGAACACTTATGCACTGTTGTCTTTGTTTCAGATTACTGCTAACCAGAACTCCTAAATCTTTTTCGCAATCCGTAATATTAAGATCTACATTATTTAGTTTATATGTGGCATGGTTATTGTCCTGTCCAACATTTAGAACTTTGCATTTGTCTATATTAAACTGCATCTGCCACTTCTCCGACCACTGCATCAGTCTATTCAAATCTTCCTGGAGTGCTCGAATGTCCTCGTCAGAATGAATTCGACGGCCTATTTTGGTGTCATCGGCAAACTTGCCGATGTCGCTCTTTATGCCCTCGTCTATGTCGTTTATGTAGATTGTGAACAGCAGGGGGCCCAACACTGACCCCTGTGGAACACCGCTCGTGACGCTTCCCCACTCTGATTTCTCCCCATTTATGCAAACTCTCTGCTGCCTATTAGTCAACCATGCCTCTATCCAGGAATAAATTTCTCCTCCTATTCCATGTGCTTTAATTT